CGCTACAACCATTTTGCTTGATTTGTGTTATTTTTTCATTATTTTGATATAGTTATTTCTGAATAGGTATTTTCAATATATTATTTTATGTGTAACATTAGAATTCAAGAGGTTTACGATTCACATTTGAATTTCATATTGATAAACCTTAAATAAAGAAGTTACTTTAACACGTAGGTTTTCTTAAATTTTATAAAAGTATTTTTTCACGACGGGGTTCGGTTTTCTTTTGTAAAAGTTTGATGGCAGTGATCCTCTGTGCTTGTGTTTGAGCTGATGAAATTGATCATCTCTTATAGTGGATCACATACTGTATCCTTTACTAATTCGCTAACATTAGCGCGAAGTATGCGAAAATTAATATCGCTATAATCCAGCTGACTGTATAAAAAGATGGGCAAGCGATTGCTTACCACCCATACACTCTGTACATCCATGTTTCCGTCCACTTTCAAATCGTTGGGGAATTGTATTAAGCTACTCAGAGGTGAAGACTCATTATTAGTTTTTATGTAGAAAAGCTTTTGTAAATTGTTCCTACTATAGCTTTTGGCCGTATCCCAACAGGCAATACCATCTAAATGTACTTGAGTGAAAAACATTACTCCATTACGCGCTATACCGGATGTGGAGGACTGACTATTGGGCCCTCTATCCCCAATCTCTATAAAGGCCTTGGCTACTTTTTGAGCTTTGTCCGGCCAAACACTTTCATCTTACAACAAAGCAGTTGACACCATAAACTCCTAGGTGTTCATGCAATTAATTAAACTGAAGGTGCTGATAAAATATTAACATATGCTTACCCTGAAACTGGCCATAGGATGAAAATATAGGAACCGCTCCGCTCCGAGAAGGGAAGAAGGAGAAAGGCTCATACCAAATACGCCATCTAGCCATTGGAAATTCAGGCCGTATATCTGGAAATCTGAGGCTGCTGGATTCGGAAAGAAATTAAAATTTGTTACACGCCAACTTCGATTTTTGCCTAAACTATAAACAACAATTCCGAAACGCCAAACATCAGTGACGTAAGCATAAGCGTCTCCACAGCGATCGGAGGCAACATCAACCACAATATTTGTGTACAAGCTATCTTCTTTTACATGCTCTGATGGAAATTCATAGCTGAACAATTTTTGGTCAGTTGTCAAATCATAGACCGCAATTTTTGGCAGACATATCTGATTGCGTTCCATAGTCGCGTTTACTATTCCCGAGTCAATCAACCATAAACGCTGGCAAACGTCAACATAAGTTCGATAAACGGATATTAGCTTATCACAATCCGGTGTATAGGAACTGCTATGCGCCTCCCAATTAGGATACGGCTTAAGAGCAGGGCTAATTTCAGAAGGTGGGTACGGTATTGTCCCCAGACTTGCCGGCACCCCATCTTTCCAACGTGGTGTCGTTATAAATATTCGATTTTGATAAATATCGATACCCAGCGGCAAAGATTGCTCTACAATGAACTCACTGTAAATAGATTTTGAACTTTGTCAAACTACTCAATTCCAACAACTGACTTTAGTGTATACCAATCATCATATGTAGAGTAAACTAAAATTTTCCACCGATTTATAGCGGTTAGAAATAACATCTAAAAAACTTTTATGTGGCTTACGGAGCCATGCTTATGGAGAATGCTTTCACCTTCCTAAAGGTTAATCGAGATCCTTTGCCTATTCGGCCACACAGCCGAAAGAGTAGCTAATATTATCTTTACTTTTACTCTATCTACATATATAGCATATCCTATACACATAAAATAATATTTTGCAAAAATGTAGTTCTTCAGCCTCGTGTAGGTAATTCTACAAATTAAAAACGATGTGTACCTTTTAACTTTTTATGTTAATTTGGCCGAACAACAATTTTAACTAAATTTCAAGCTTCAAAAGGAACAAAGAAAAGTTTGAGACTAAATTTAAAAGCCGACACAATGTTTTGAAGCAATAATCATTTTTATGTTTCTTTTAATTTAAAAGAAGATGACTATTTTTTTGCTAATTAGTACAATGTCAAAACATGCCATGCTCATGATATTTATTCTGGAGGTTCTAATAGGGATTTTATCACACGAACAGACACGCGTACTTAATTTGATTGGATTATATACTCTAATTAAATACATAATACATGCATTAATTTGAAGGATATTTCTGAGCGTTACAAATATTTAGAGAGTCTGATATATTGTGATAGTTATTTCTAGAAATATATATTGTTAATAAATTCACTTTTCTACAATATAGGACTCGCACCACTAGATCGTGGATATTCTTTTCAAGAGACACTTTACACTTTAAAGTTCTATTATTTACAATTATATTTCTTAACCGTAGGATTATTCACAATTTGTTTTGGCAGTACTCCCGACTCAAATGTTCTTGTCCGACTAACTCTGTCTTCAACAAATATTCATTTCTAATCCGTGTCTGTTTTCTGCTAATCGTTTTCATCGGCCGGCAGCTACAAGACGCGCTGCGAATGTGCATTTGGTATTGTTTCTTCTTTAGGGAATTTATTATTTGGGAAAATTACTTCGCTGGAATGAACTGGATTTGGGATTGCCGTAACAATATGCTTTCAATGTGAACGTAAACATCCGTTTGTCCCACTCTCCCGTGTTTATACACTACTAACTAAGTTCCATATATCTATATATTCAAGCAATATACGAGATGTACCAAAACCACTTCATATTTCATTTGAATTCTCTTGTCGTGTTTCTTCCATACCTACATTAAGGCAAACGTATGTTCATAAGGAGGAAGGAATAGTTCTTTCTCATTTTTTGATGATATGGCAATTCCGTCGCCTTTATTTTATAAAAAACTCAGTCTTGCTATCTTTTGATATATCAGCAGCCTTCTTTGTCATTCGAACCTATTTCATCCTCACTTTTACTAATATTTTAGCTCAGTACTACAAGAAATAGTTAAGTTTATAATCCTGCTAGTTTGTGTGTCTTACAAAACGGCAATATACTAGATTTTCATTCCTTTGTTAATAATGGTCACTAATAGCAAGCCTACAAAATATCTATTGTTTATTCGACTTCAGTTTTGACATTACTCTGTCATTTTGCATTTAAAATAAATTAATTAGATCCCACAAAATTTGCACCTAAATTTACTGATACAAGAGGCCACATATTTTCTATATTATTTAATTAAAACTGTTACACACTTTACCGGTTTATTATGGCCTGCTGTCTTTGCTCATACGTTCTATATTCAAAATCCAATTTCCTCCATTCGCTAACAATTTCAAAGAGTTGTTGCACTTTCGTGTATTGCTTTTGAGAGCGTAGAGCTGTGTCTACAGTTTTGTCGTTCTGTAGATTAAAAGACAGGGGCTGCAAATATGGTGTAGTTTCTAACTCAACGCTGTAGAAGGCATCGTAAGCGTTAGAATTGCTAATTAACCAACATACAATGAAACATGTTAAGACCATTTTGTGATTAACATTGATGTTTTGTCACCAACGTTAGATTTCTTGAATTAATTTTGCTTGATTATTGCACTTTTATTTAAACGGTGTGCTACATAAATTAAATGAATTTAATTTTAAAAAAAGAAAATTGACTGGCGGAGATTTTTTTGTCCACATGCTATCTTACCAACAGCTAATTATTAACTGGTGGGCGAAAAATAAAGAGCTTTCAAGTAGTTTTCGACTAAGTGGCAAATTACTAATGTATTTCATATTTACTCTTGTGTTTTTACGTTAACGCACATTTGGTAGAAATTATGCATGTACTTTAAGGTGAAGTTCAAAGGATATACTATCAAATAACATCTTTAGGTGAACATTAGATGACGTAAAAACAAAATTTTGCTTCTCCACGTTTCGCAATAAAAACATGAGCTTGACCTTTTATGCCATAAACGAACAAAGTTGTTTTACATAACTCATCTTATAAATGTATAGAACATGTGAATCTAAATTGATTATATTTTTCAAGTTTTCTGAAATAGTTTTATTAAACAACATTAAAACATGTCGTTTTATATCGTGTAGGGCTTGCAAATATTCAATTATGCTGATTAATTTCGTTTTATTTGTATGTGATTTTGAAGGTAGTTGAATCATATAAGTAATCATAAAAAATATTCGCTTCACAAGTCTGCATAAGTTATTCAATATAAATGCACTTTCTATTCGTAAAATTAGAGAGGCTTGTTTTGATTAACGCAAAGTTGTAGAAGACTTTCATAAAACCTACCAGCATAAACTAATATGCAAATGTGGTTAAATTTGTAGGTAAAGTATCCTTTTGATGAACAGTTAAATTCGTGCTGTATTTACATAATACTTTATAGCGGGTTAGTAATGATATAAACATGGATTTTATAAACCGAATAAAATTGGCTAAAACTCAAATTAAGAAGAATAGGTCTTTTGTTCAAAGATAGTAATTTGTGTGAATAGCTGCTATGTATTCTAAATTAGCACTCGCTCGAAATGTAGTATAATTGACTAAGTAAAAAGCAATTGAATGATTTTAGCTACTTGTTCTAATATATGATGCACTTAGTTCAATTATTTCAGATTTTCGTGAATCTTCCGTTTGCATGTAATAAGCGATGTGATTTAATATATTCTTGCGTTACAAATACAAAACCAACCGATTTATATATAAATCCATCTAATATTTTTAAAGGAAATCGAGCTGTAATTACTCTTATAAATACCTTTTAATATCTATGCTCCCAATTGTATGACATTGAAGTATACACTCCACTTACTGGTTTTCGTGCTATTCAACTGTTGAAGCACGTTGACGCAGTCAACGCTTTATAAGCTAGTGCAAGGTATATGGCATGTGGCTACGTTTCGATGAAAAAACGCTACAACCATTTTGCTTGATTTGTGTTATTTTTTCATTATTTTGA